TTCTTGTCCATTTCCAGGTGTCTGCGCGCGAGGATCTGCTTTCTTCTTCTGCACCCCCCATACGCAACGACGAAGTACACGGCCTTTCTTGCCCACAGAGCACCCCAATCGCCTCCTTGAGTCTTCAAACAACGACTCGAGCCTGCCACCTTTAGGAGCTTGCATGGTTCGAAACCCTGGCAGCGTGTGTTATGATTGCTAGTGGCGCCATGTTGTATCATCGTTGTTGGTTATCTTGCAGCCACTTTTCCATCCGAAGGGTCTAGTAGCTATCGTAACGTGTTCACTGTTAAGGTCGTCTGGGCATCGATGCCCCATGACCTGAACGAGCTTGCGGAGACACAGCAGCTTCAGCACGGCCAGAAACGCTACTCAGCTATATTCTGGTACAACCAATCAATGACTTCAGCATCTGAGCGATCTTCAACCGCTGGGCGTTCTTTGCCACTGGCTTTCCCGAAGCCCGAAACCAATCGAAGAGCGAGCTGCTGCAAACGAACCCAGAGCCAGCTTTGTAAGAGCAAGGTCGGTGCTCATGATGCCGTGAATCCTTGGTTGTGGCGTCATTCCGATGACGATGAGGTGATGCTGAAAAAAAGAAAAGAAGATCATCACCCAACATTGGCTGTTTGCTTAATTTCATCATCATTGGTACCCCCCCAGTCAGGAAAAGCAAGGTTTAGATCTTGGGTCGGCATCAGCCGCCAGGCTGCAACTTCGAAGTTCCAAGCCGCAGTGGCCAACACCACCTACACGAAGCGAACGCGATGCGAATTTCCCGCATGGGCCATTTTCTTTCAGATGGACGCAGGTAGGTGAAGGAGTAGGCCTTTGCCCATCTTTGCCCCAAAGTGTCGTTCTGAGCGCCAACATGTGAGGCCTCGTCGCTCCTCCGAGCTGCCCTGATCGTCTGAATTTGCTGAAGCCAGGGGGCTAAGGATTGTCGGGGTTTTAGATTATATAGAAGCCCGGCTGCCCACCGGTCGCAGACTAAGTTTGTTGTTGCTGCGTATTTTTTGCTGCATTATTCATCGCTTTGCCGCTCTTTTCTGCAGAAAGCAGGAGCAGGCTGATTCTGGTGCGATTCGTGTCCCGCGCCCCAAACCACAGGGGCGGCATCCTTGCATTGCTTGGAAGCTCTGTTAGAGAAGTCCACGCAAAGGGCAGAGCTTTCTGGTGAAGAAACCAGCATTCCGAATTCGCCTAAGTTAGCTTTTGCAGGTCCAGGGGTCGAGTATGTAGATATGCAGCTATGATGTCTTCTCTCACTCTCTCCCCACATGTGTATGTATGTATGTATGTATGCATGCATGCATGCATGCATGCATGCATGCATGCATGCATGTATGTATGTATGTATGTATGTATGTATGTATATGTTAGTTTATTTACTTATTTATCATATGTGTGCGTGTGTATCACCGGGCTGCGCGAGAGTTGGCAAAAATGTATTGCCAGTGAAACTGCTTACTCCTGGATGCTTGCAAGCTGACGGAGAGAGTGTGGTCCGCCCTACACCTCGCCTGAGCTTCGAGTGCGAGTGTTAAAAACGTGTGCACGAAGAGAGGGACAGAGAGCGTCAGAGAGAGAGAGAGAGAGAGTGTGTGAGTGTGTGTGTGTGTGTGTGTTTGTGTATTGTTCGATAAGAGATAGAACAGCGCAGGGGTATCATACGCCTCGACCCCCGCAACACTCCTGCGTCCTTGAAGCCTAAGAGCTCTGGGACCTTTAAGTTTTCTGGCCTCTGCACTGCAGCACGTGTACCATCAGTAACACGGAGGGACTTGTCAAGATTCAGCATCTTTTTATTCGGTGTAGACAGGTGGGCTTATAGGGCCAAAGTATAAATTGCGCTCCCGCTTGCAATGCTTCGTGGTCGACTGATACCATAAGAGCCGGTTGCCGAAGACCTGACTTGTAAAGCGCGGTCTGTGCTGCCGTGTTTTGCACAGCTGCCGACCCCACCGCATTCCGGAGGGCATTTCTAGCGGCGGTTAGATGCGAGGAATCCCTCCCTGGTGGCGAAGTGGCCCTCCTGTGGAATTGGGCCTCCTTGTAGCACCTTCAGCTTGCAGTGAGGTTGCGGAGGCTTGGGCCCGAGCTAAGTAGCGTTGTAGCTTGAGAATATGCTGTTTGGAGACTACGTTGGCGGGTGCAGAATACCCCGGCGACAGCTAGCCAAAAGCCGTTCGAACCCTACAGCATCTTTGGTCCCCGCCAGATTCCTTTGCACCCTGCGCAAAATGATCACCCACGGTTCTAAGATCTAAAGGCAATTTCTGGAGTTCAGCTCGCATGGCCATACCATCTGGGAAGGGCTCCTCGCACTGCGCTGACATGCCCAAAAGGGGGATGGAAAAGGCAAGATGATTGGATGTAGGTTCGAACCCCAAGACTTCAAGAAAGGTTTAACAACCAACCAACTTGTGCATAGGTCTACCCTGCAATGCGGGCTCGTCCTGGCTAGGTAGGAGGCAAAATAGGTCTACAAGGTCCAGGTTGGAGTGGGTTGTTGGTTTCACCAGCACAATCTTGGTCCCCGGGGTCCCCTACACGCTACCTCATCGGCTAGAACGAGTTGTGAAAGCATCAACCTCAAATTTTAGGTGATTCCGGCAAGTCCTTACGGAAAATAAAGAAACCCGAGGTACAGTTTTCGGAGACCCCGGGGCTGAGAACGTGAACCCAAGCACCCATATAAACACTAGGGTCTTAAAGCTAGAGGTACCTATTTGGCCTTCAGGCACAAGGCCCCTTCATTTCTGATCTGAACGAATCGCTAAATCCGAATTCAGGGCCTGAGGGCGGAGACAGTTCCTTCCTAAACACTTAAACCCAGTACCTAAACCCCAAGCTCGGGACGTCTCCTTGCCATGCCTGCTTCGTGCGAGTGTGTGAGTCGAAACCCCATACCCCCCCGCCCCCCTGGAGGTTTTCGGATATCTATGTGCCAATATGGATCCTTTACTGATGCTATTTACACCTGGCCGATCGTGCACCATGAACCTCACATTTGGCCATATCGAGTTCGACTCCGTAAACCGCCTTCAGTCCCAAACCTTCCTCCCCCCGATCTGGCCAGGTGGTCTGTCTTCTTGCCTTCCAGCGCTTCCTGGAAGATCCTTTTCTTCAAGTTTGGGGAGCCTTCTTTTGATTTTTTGGTGCGGCATTCTTGTAAGGAGTTCTGAAAGATTGTTCGACAGGGGTTCCTAGAGAAAAGAAAAGGCGGACAATAGTTTTGGGTCTCGAGGTGTTACTAGTGTTTTGGGGTGCTGACATACCGGCTTCGAAAATCCATGGAGTTTAGGGCTTCGGTCTCTTCCATGGGCTAGCTGCTGGCTAGGGGGAGTTTTACTGGGCTTACACAGGTCCCACATGGCTCTGAGAGTTCGTATGAGTCCTTCTGCACGCACTCGGGTTTGTGCCACTTCTGCTAGCCAAATTTGGGCTCGTGGACCCGCATGCCAATGCCCGCAATATCCTGTGTTGAAAGTTCGGCTACCGGTGTCCCACAAGCTTACAGAGCGTGTCTTGTTGGTTCTGACAGTGAGAATGCCACTTCGTCGTGACTGTCATACAGACTTTCGTACACTTTGACGTACATGTCAGTACATGTCGCTTTATCGCACAGTCCAGGGGTTGTTTTTTTCTGTGTGAAGGCTGCATCACATCGTTGCGTTAGCGCAGGTCAATTTGGTGACTTGAAGAGGACGCCCCGTTTAGTTACTTAGTGCTCAACCATTTTAATCGTGACTGAACCTAGCCCTAGATCCTTGGTATGCTCGGAAGTTGTAGGCACCGGACACCGACAACGGCCCCAAACCCAAACCTGGGGGCGGGTTTTGCGGGGGGGCAAGTACTACTTTTTGTTTGCGCCATGGACTTAGCAAACTTCTCTTCGTACTCCCCCAATCACCCTCCATCCCCTAAGCCCGAAACCCTGATGACAAAGTACCAAGGCTCCTGCTGCTAGCCGGGACCACATCCATGCCCTCATTGCCCAGGCGGTGTCGGGTTCACTGGCATTGTTTGCACAGTGATACGTTGTTTGAAGGGTGCAGATTGGTTGAACTATTGTTACAGTCGTGACAGTAGCAACCTCGTCTTGAACAGCTGCCAGTACAAATCTAGGGAAGACAGGGAACCAGCAGCAACAGGACTCCGTACATCCGAAGCTCCTTCAGCGTCCTTGATTTCTTCCGGCGGCAAGGGTTGGGATGTCCACCAAACAAGAGAGCCACCAGCGTTCTCGAACGCAAGAGGATTAATACTACCAGAGCAGTATATTTGTAATTAGTGAAAAAAGGCGCATGGACCATCACGGTGGCTACAGGAGCTGACGCCGCTAGCGAAGCAAAGGATTGAAACGCGATCCTTGAACGCCGAAGCCTAAGCGCCGAAACCCAAAACCCTATAGTAGCTAGCAGGCAAAAATAGTAGCTAGCAGCTAGCAATATCGTGTTTCAAGTGCCAGCCTTTCGGCTCGTCTACTGCTGATGCCTCAAAAGACTTCTTGTGCCTGGCCTTCGGCAACTTCTTGTCGCCTGGCACCTTGAGATCGCGGCGCAAGACGTGGAGTTTGCTGTGTGTGCACCGGCGGGGCAGGAACAGAGTCGTCCAAAGCATCACGACCATCAACGGAGAGCTGTAGTGCAAAGGGTCTATAGTGGTTGGCATATAGATTTTGTGCGTGATGTAAGAGGACAAAGCATGTCAAACTGTCAAAGCATCACGATGCAGTAGCTTGAAGCATATACGGGCAGCAGCAGTATGCCACGGTTTCCTCATCGCACACTGGTACTTAAAATTGCTGAAGTTCAAAGTCCAGACCGACCTTTGCGAGGAGATTGGCAAGCTATTCCTGAATTCCTCGTCGCGCTGTGCAAAGCCGAACAAGGTGCAGATCGAGCAGAAGGAGCTTGGGCTCTTCTGACGATCTCGCTGCACTTGCCCGACATACCCTGAGCTGGCAGCCCGTTGGACGGCTGCACCTGAGGCTGATGGAATTCTTGGAGATGGAATGGCGTCTCGGTTTAGGAAGCTGTTCCTGCAAGAGATGCCTCTGCATCTGCATGTTGGGAGCAACAGATGTAGAGTCCGAAAGGGGGTTCAGTCGCAATCACCTCTTCAGGCACCTAGTTATGTCATGTCAAACACTGTATAACATATATCTCTGTGAACATGTACATGCACATGCATACATACATACGTACATACATACATACATACAGACATACATACATACATACATACATACACATGTATACGTACATGCATGCATACATCTATTCGTCTTATTCGCTCTTAACGATGACTATCTGTTGTTACGTAATAGTATGCTTTGCATTTTCGGCTGTCTATATATACATATATATATATATGTATATATCTTTCTGGCTGCTCGTATTTATTATTTGTTGGCTTTTCAATGTATTACCCATTATGGTTGACTTTATGATGAACAAACATGATTGTTCAGACTTTTTGAACTTGTTGCAGTTTTTACTCATTGCGGTTGTTGCTACTGTTATTGACTTTCGTAATGTAATGATTCTGTCCAGGATTATCATTATAAGTGTTATTACTATGCTTATTGTTCTTGTAATTGCTCTTGTTATTGTTCTTCTTCTTATTATTATTACTCTTATGATTACTCTTACTATTGTTGTTGTTGTGGTTGTTGTCGTCGTCGTTGTGGTGGTAGTGGTGGTGGTGACGGTAGTGGCGGTGGTGGTGGTGGTGGTGGTGGGGGTGGTGGCGGTGGTGGTGGTGGTGGTGGTGGTGGCGGTGGCGGTGGCGGTGGCGGTGGTGCTGGCGATGCTGGCGGTGGCGGTCATTTTCGATTTTTGTTTTTTTACCATCACAAGTAGATTATTCTGAGTACGATGATGATTGTAAAATCTAAATTGCTAAAGTTGCACTGGCTTTAGTGGCACCCCTCCCTTCCCAAACGTTCCCGGAGGCCTGAATAGTGCGCTCCCGCAAACCCCGCCAAGGAGGGGTTTTGGAGGGAGATTAGTAGTAGTAGTAGTAGTAGTAGTAGCAGCAGAAGTAGATGCAGATGTAGTACTGTAGTACTGCAGTACTGTAGTAGTATAGTAGTATAGTAGTATAGCATAGTAGTAGTAGTAGTAGTAGTAGTAGTAGTAGTAGTTGTAGTAGTAGTAGAAGTAGTAGTAGTAGTAGTAGCAGTAGCAGCAGAAGTAGATGCAGATGTAGTACTGTAGTACTGNNAGTACTGTAGTAGTATAGTAGTATAGTAGTATAGTAGTATAGTAGTATAGTAGTATAGCATAGTAGCAGTAGTAGTAGTAGTAGTAGTAGTAGCAGTACGCAGTACGTAGTACGTAGTACGCAGTACTAGGAGCAGCAGCAGCAAGAGCAGCAGCAGTAGCAGATGCACCGGCACCCTGGAGTAGGACCAAAGCGAGAGCGGTTTAGGAGGGTTTTGGGGGGCAGTAGTTGCACACAATTATAGTACAGTAGAATAGTAGAATAGTAGAAGTACGTACAGTAGTAGTACCTAAGGGAAAGAAAGCGGCACCGGGAGATGGAGGAGCGGCTCAGACAGTTTTGCGAGTGGCGGGAGTGGCATGAGGACCGGAACGGACAATGGCGACAGTGGCAGGATGAGATGTTGTGGGACTTTTGGTTTACAAGTCGCATGTTTGCTTAGCCGGCATTGTGCGAAATGCCAGAGTCGAAGAGCCTAGTCAGATGTCCCGAATCCATCTGAATCCTACGTTACTAGATAGAGTCATGTTGAAACCCTGCAGCATCCTGAAGCCGTTGACCCCATGAATTTGTCGACTCAGGGCAAGAACAAGGACAAGGCCATAGCAAAGGGCAAGCGCATGGGCAAGGAAAAGAGCAAAACCAAGGGCAAGAGCTATGAACAAGATGAAACCTATGAGGCTTGGTTCCGCCGCTGCGAAGAAGAGGAAGAAGCCTCACTTTTGGAAGATGGGGCCGAAGACACGGGCAGGGGGCAGGGTAAACGCAGCAGCAAGAGCTGGTTCCGCCGGCTCGAAAAACCCCAACTCTTCGAAGCTGGGGTGAAGGGCAAGCGCAAGGGCAAAGGCAATGGCAGTAGCTATGAATATGACAAAACGCATGAAGCTTGGTTCCGCCGCTGCGAGGCAGAGGAAGAAGCCCTGGTTTTCGAAGCTGAGGTCACGGTCACAGGTCAGGGCAAAAGCAAAGGGAAAGGCAAGAGATATGAGGAACAAAATGTAGCCTACGAAGCTTGCTGGCGCCGCTGTGAAGAAGCACGACTCTTCGAAGCTGGGGTGAAGAGCTATGGAGAAGATGATGGAGAAGATGACGAAACCTATGAGGCTTGGTTCCGCCGCTGCGAAGAAGAGGAAGAAGCCTCACTTTTCGGACATGGGGCCAAAGACAAGGGCAGGGTCACAGGTCAGGGCAAAGGCAAAGGCAAAGGCAAAGGCAAAGGAGGCAAAGGCAGCTGGCGCCGCTGCCAAGAAGCACGACTCTTCGAAGCTGGGGTGAAGAGCTATGGAGAAGATGATGGAGATGATGATGAAACCTATGAGGCTTGGTTCCGCCGCCGCGAAGAAGAGGAAGAAGCCTCACTTTTCGGACATGGGGCCACGGTCAAGCGTAAGGATCAGGGCAAAGGCAAAGGCAAAGGCAAGAGCTATGAAGAAGATGACGAAACATGCGAAGCCTGGTTCGGCCACTGCGAAGAAGCCCGACTCTTCGAAGCTGGGGTCAAAAGCCAGCGCAAGGGCAGGGGCTATGGAAGAAGATGACGCAACCTACGAAGCCTGGCGCCGCTTCTGATAGCCGCTGCCTATGAGATGAAAGAAAAATGCCGTGGAAGTACGAGTAGAATCCGGATGATTGTGGGGAGTGTGGCCAAGCTGTGTAGGCCTATAGAAGAGCACGTCTATGGTTTTGTGGATGCGTACGCTTCATGTTTCGCGCTATAGGGTGTACTTGTCCTAGTTCTCCTTGTCAGTTCGTTGCTGCTCCTGGACTTCTGCAGTGTCTGGAGTTATTCACAGCTATGTCAATGCAGAACGAAGTGGTGCGGAAGGGCAGTGACGTGAGAATCGGCCAGACTCAGCACGAAACGTGCCAAATCCGACCCCCAGGAGGACACCTGAGACTAACCCCCGAGAGTAAAACCCTGTTGTTTCTTTCTGCATATCCTCTTCAACCAAGCAAACGAGAGAGCCGGTGCAAACAACGATACCTCAGAGCGACCTGCAGAAACCGTATACACATCCCGTAATGTTGCTCGAAGCATCGAAAGCATACGCGTACATGAAGTGGCTATGACCTTGTGTTGTAGTGATTCCGAGAAAAAACAGCGGCGACATCGGGCTCAGTTCGTGCTCAAGAAGTTCAGCGGGCTGTGTGTCAGTGCAGGTAGGGCTTCGGGCGTCTGAGGCTGTAGTGTTTTGACACGGGTTTCTGGCTCAAATGAGTTTCTATTAACATATACAGGGTTTGGATGCAAGGTTTTATTCAGGCACCGTGAAGTCCGAAATCCGATGCCTAAGCTGGCAGTGGAAACGTGCTTGCCGTCCCCGGAACAGTTATAACAGCCTGATAGTATCTTTATAGCAGCCGTGCACAACCTGCTTATCTTCTGGAGATTCGGCCGAAAGGTTGGTACTGGAGAGGGGAAGTCGATGATCGTCGCCGCTCGGGTCCCAGCTCTTGCCACATCTTGCTTTTGTTTGGTTAGTTGTCTCATGTGTCTGTTTGACTTTTAGACTGCTAGTATGCTAATTGCGCGAAGCTGTTGTTCCTGTCTGCCGGAAACTCCCCTCACCCTGAGCCTGTTTTATGATGACCTCTTGCAATGCAGTGTTTGGACTGATCAACCGATAACAACCTATACTTGGGGGACGGAGAAAGGCGGGGCCTTGACGAGGCTTTGGCCATCTACGTTGTCGTAGCGCTTCGCAAGAAGGTCCACGTGGTGCTGGGCTGAGTCGTCCCGCTGCCACTGCTGCAATTGCTAGCTGTATGTAGCTTTGGTGGCCAACGTATGCCCCATGCAAGTACACCGGGCTCAACCCGCCAAATCCAAGGGCTGCATGAGTCAGGTAGTTGATGATGAAACCCTGCTCGAACGAGACTTCGCGTGGTTCTCAGATCAGCAGCGGACCTATCAACCCAAGGCACTTGAATGCGGGTTCAAGTAAAATGCGGATGGTGAACGGCTCTCTTGGTTTGCCGTTTCAGGGAAATGTAATTCGAGCATTACAGGCATTTCTTCGACTGCATCCTAAAGATGCTGTCGACGAGTACCTGTCTACGGCTTCAGTTTCAATAGAGATAGTAGTACACTATTATAGGGAAGAAGAACAAGCTGGAACAAATACAGTATACCTATTAAAACGGAGAATTCTCTTAAAGAGGAGTCTTTTCCCCAGCAGAAATGGGCATACTTCTACTCGTGCAACGACTGCTAACACCCGTGCTGGTTCGCATCAGTCGGCCCCTGAGGCGGGTTCCACAGAGTTGAAATTGGGCCTTTCCCTTTCAAGCAGGATACCTGCAAAAGCAATGTCTGGCAGTGGGGCATAATATCATCCGACAGCTTGCATGCATTTCTTCCGTGCGGAGGCCTCTTTCCGTCGACTCTTCGATTCCTTCCAAGTGGAGGATGCTGGAAAGAGGCGCCGAGAATTATGGGGCGGAAAACTACTGCTGGTGTGGTAGCCGACAAGGTATAGACCATTCGTGGCCATGCCTCTTCATGCCGACCCCAAGTAGTATCGCAAGTTAAGTCAAGTGCTTTGGACCTTGGTTTGCAGCGCCTGGTCCGAGCTTCGAAATGTTTGATCGGCTACTGCTGCCGTGATGCGTATTGATGCGTATGGACCGTTTGAGTACTGCCACGCCGTATGATTTTCGGACTCTCCGACATTCGTTATCCGACCGATTCACATGCCGCAAACCTTTACGAGAAATTCTCAAAAGAGCTCCTGTCGGCTTCGCACGGAGGCGGCCCTTGAAGTCGATGCTCTGCGTCTCCGAGGCGAGTCCCTCCGCGCAGGGTCCGCGCGAGTTTAGCATTTACGGTGTTGGAACTTCGGGAGCTGGGAGCTTCAATAAGGTTAAGGATGAAGGCTTCAGGGTGTGTGTGTGTGTGGGGGGGGGGGGGATTTCCGTGTGGTGAATTTCTCCGCAATTTCGATACTGTGAACCTCCATGCTTCATCGGACGTTTCAGAAACCTTTAGGATCTTCAGCGTATTCTTCACGCCTGATCTCAAACTCCGAGTCCTGGCGTGCCCGAGCCCTCCCGCTGGATCGCAGCGTGTTGGCATGGTGAGTGTTTAAGCGTGAAACTCCAATGCCCAAGCTCACAACGCCTTCTCTACTCACCCGAAAGCTCATCAGCTTCCGGAAGTGGCTCCGAAAGCTACAGCAAGCCTATGGTATGTCTATGACGGCCTATGCAAGGTAGTCGCCCTTTACATTGCCCAGTCAACAAACATTCAGACTCAAGTCCAATCTCTAGAATCCTCCTGACCTCGAGCAGTAAAAGCCGAAAACCTCAAGGTCCCAGCTTAAAGCAAGGGGTGCTCAGGAGCGCCTGGCTTCCTCCAAGGGTGCTACTGGTCCGGGGCTTTTCCTGTGCTGGTCGAAAGCTACTCGTTAGTGACTATAAGAACAGATACATGTACCTTGCACCTGCAGGCAGAAAGAGGGGTAGATCTGGTAGGGTTGAAATGCTGTTTCTTCAGAGGTTCAACGGCCATTTTGGGAGGACGTGGGATCAGAGGGAGCGTCTATAGACTTCAGAGCGACCAGCAGCGCAAGAGGAAAGAGAGAGAGAGAGAGAGAGAGAAGCCCCATAACACGTGGGGGGCCAGTAGGCCGGGGGACCTCAACCGTCCCCCATGCCCAGTGAAAGAAAGAAAAGAGAAGGATGTCGGACTATGACTTGTACAGGTTTGGAGTTTCGCAAGCTGTTGTACGGGTTTTGTCGCGGATCGAAGGGCTGGAGTCTCGGTAAACCTGTAGAAACCTTGAGCCTTCCGGCGCCGAAAGCTGCATTCCCTGCAAAGCTCATCAATCACAAGTTCCGAAAGCCCCTCCGCTCTTACGCTTCAATATAAGCTACTACGCAGTTCAGTGCTGGGATTGCTGGGCTTGGCTTACAGTCTCCAGGGTTTCGAGCGTCAGCTCAGAAGATGTGGGAGAGAAACACGCTCCAGCCTCGTCTTGGCGTATGGTCATGCTGTCAGCAAGGGTTGGTTCCCCAGAAAGCATGATGAACCAAGCCGCAAGTCTTCAAGCTTTCACGGTCTAGCAACTTGGGGCGTTGGGTTGTGCGATTTAACTTAGCCTACATCTTGATCAGGAGGCTTGAAGGCTGGGAGCCCACAGAGATATAATTTTTGTGACCAGCTGCTTCTGGAAGATCTTCAGATGTCTGATAGGCCTGATAGGCCTGATGCTGAGACACTTCTTCCGGTCAGTACCAGCTGCCCATCTGCCCGGACCGCTGGCACATGGCTCGGCTCGTTGAACGCGGTAGAAGTAGTAGGGGGCCCTTTTGGTCCTAGAAGACATGCCGGCGCCTCAGTCGTCAGGAGCTGAACGGGAGAGGAGCTGGGAGTTTCGGAGGGCAGAAGCCCAAGATCCTGAAGCTCTGAAGGCTCTTGGGTTGATAGAAGGCTTGGAGTCAGTCTGTCGGGCGGAGGGGTAGCCTTCAGCATGTCGGCTTGCGTCGGTTGGGTTGTGCGGGGAAGTGGGGATCCTGGGTTCCGATTGAAAGTTCGGCAAGCCCGGAGCTACCTCGAGCATAAGTGAGTCTCGACAATCCAAGATCTGAGTTCCCATCTCTTTTGAGACCAGGCCGCCGAAATTAATGCGGCGAGCGGACACCGTCTATGCCCTGGACGGTGTCGAGGACGCTTGTGATCCCTGCGCTGAGTGGTTTTCCATTGCCAACTTCTGTGGCACCTTACAATTTGTTACAGCCTGCTGTGGATGGATGCCCGCTGCTTGCATTTGCTTTTGGGCTTTTAGCCCCTAAACCCTGACCCCTGACTCCCTTGACGAAGTAGGAGGCAGAAAAACCCCTCGATCCCAAGCCCGTCTCACCTTATATTATATTATATTATATTATATTATATTATATTATATTATATTATATATTATATTATATATTATATATTATATTATATTATATATTATATTATATTATATATTAT